GGGAGCGGGATATCGGGGACCCCCCTCTCGGAAGAAGCGCTCGGGTTCTGGCCGGGCCGTGTTCTGGTGTTTGTCCCCGGGGAGAGGCCGGGGGAGCCGGGCCCAGGGGGAGCTTTGCCCCCAGCGCCCCGCAGCCCGTCCCGGCCGCCGCCCGAGGGTCCCGGGGCGGTGGGGGTGCCGCACCCCACGATTTCAGAGTGGAAAATGTATTCTCCTCCTCACCGACTCCGCATCAAAGAATAAAAAAGATTAAAACCCAACCGCGGAAAAGATTTTGTGTTTTTTCCCGTCTCTCATGTGGGGCAGAAGCCCCCCAGAGCTCACTCGCTGCCCCCCAGAACCACATCCCGCCGTTCCCAGCACCCAGACTTCTGCAGAGCCGATTCCTCTTTACTCACCATTTGCTTTTCATTGGGAAAAGTGAGTGGAGCCATTTTGTGGCCTACGCATCGCGGCTATATTTGTAGTAAGTGTTGGGTGGCTTCAGCTGGGTAGGCTCTAATTCCACATCACGTCCAGTTTCCTATTTAGTATGGAGAGCGGAACACTACTGCAATGTGGCCGAGAGAGATAAAACCCCAGCAGTGGCCCGCCTGCCCTGATAAGCTTCTAAACCCATTATTTATGAAATGATTCATTATTATTTGGCAATTTTATCGAAGGAAAGCGGAAAATTATTGCAGGGATATGCATAGGAATAACTCCGGAATGCATGCCTTCTAGCTTTTTATGTGTGTGTGCTTAGATGCTCTTAAAAAGACACTGAAAAAAAAAAAAAAAGTAATAAAAAATTGCACTGTGGCTGCCCGCATCTGAATAGCGATTCTTTATTTTAGTCCTCTTGGAGGTTATTATGCCACTGTTTTTTTGGTTTTTTTTTTTTGTTTGTTTTTTGTGTTTTTTGGGGGGATTTATTTTGGGTTTTTTTTATTATTATTATTAAATATGGAACACCTACTCCGTTCTTAATTAAATTTAATGAGCCAAAATAAATTGTTGGAGATGTTGAGAGAGGGGGAAGGGGTGTGGGCTGCTTTGGGACAAGAGGAGGTAAATAAAGTGCATAGAAAAGAGATGTTTTGGAGAAAAGCGGTCCCAGTCCCCAGCCCTCCTTCCCCCACACTGTGTATTTTTGCTGAAGGGCTGAACTGGGGCGAGCTCCCTGTCTCGTCTCCCGTTCTGGGGTGGCAGGAGGCCGAGCATCCCTGCCGAGCTGGGGGATGCTGGGGACTGTGAGCGGAGCGGGTACCGAGCCGGCACCCCTCGCCCTCCAGAAATTTGGGATGTGAGCGGCGGGCCCTGGAGGAGAGGGGCTTGGGGAAGGGAGAAAAGGGCCCTGGCTCGCCCCGTAGCAGAGCGGGGCAGCCGGCGGGGCCGGGTTCCCCCCACCCTGGGGGCCGGAGCTCGGGACCGGCTGCGCTCCCCGTCGGGGAAGGGGCTCAGCCGGGCCGCGGCGAGCTCCGGGCCCGGCCGGCCGGGGATCCCCGGGCTGGCCCAAGCCGGGCTCCTGCCCCCGGAGCGGCTGCTGGGGACGGGAGCGGGCGGTGCGGGGGTCGCGGTGCCCCGCGCAGCGATCGCAAAGAGACGGGACGCGTGAGAACCTCCCCGAAATGCCGGGGGCTCCCGGCATGGGAAGGGGGAAGGCAGGAGTCGCTGGAGGGTCCCGGATCCGCTCCTCCGGACACCCGCGGATAGCGCGGCCCTAAAGGCGGCGCCGGGAGGGGGTTTGGACAGCTCGGGGATCGGCCTGCGTGGGAACCCGAAAAACAACGAAACCACCCCCGGCGCGGGGCGGGAGGGCAGGAACCCGGGCTGAGCCCTTCCCGGGACACCCTCGGCCCCCTCTGCGGGGTAGGGCCGGGCGGCGGCCCCCGGCTCGGGGCACAAGCGGCGGCGGGGCCCGGGCGCACCTGCCGTGGGGCGGGGGGCGGCGGCGGGGCCGGGGGTCGCTATTGTCTCCCCGCCACCTGCGCGCCCTCCCGCAGGGGGAAATGCCGGAGCTGTTATTCTTCCTTTCACTCCTTCCCCTCAGCCTCCCGCTCTGGACGCGGCCGTGGGAGAGGTTTCCACAAGCCCCGGGCGCTCCCCCCCGCGGCACGGCCGGGGCCGGGGCCGGGGCCGTGTCCCGGGCGGCAGGAGCCCGCACGATGCCGGCAGCGTGCGTGGGGCGGCGGGGCAGCGGCGGTCACGACGCGCCGGAGAGCCCGCCGTGCCTCCCGCCAGGAAACACGACCATTTTCGAGCCGGCTCCTCTCACCGACAGGAAGCGTTAAAGATAGAACAGCCGGGGCTGGGCGGGGGAGATTAGGAAGCCGAGCATCTTCTGAGCACCGAGAGCTGCTGCGGGGCCATTCCCAGCCGTGCCCGTGCCTGCTGCGGTGGGAGCCGGGCCGTGCTCAACCCACCTCCGGCCCGCATTTTTACTTTACTGCAGAGGGATCAAACGCTTCAGTCAGGGTGGGGAGCACAAAAATTATCCAAAGTAAAGCGGTCAGTGATGCTCCGGGCAGGCCCAGCACCTTTTCATCTAGCATTATAAATACCTTCCCTTCATTATAATAAAGAATAGCTAGAAACAATAGAAGAAAAAAATAAAAAAACAAAAAAGAAAATCCCAAAACCCAAATCAAGAAAGCCTTGATGTTGCCCCATTACCCATGCCATCACCTGACAAGCCAGCTCCAGAGCTTGGGCCTCAGTGTTCAGTTAACAAAGCCAGACCTGGCTTTACACATTTGTTTGAGTTTTTTTTTTACCTCAAATTGCAGTAGATACTTCAGGGAAAAAAAATCCAGACATCTTGAAATTACTCAGCACCACACTATGAAAGGAAAATGCTGCTTTAAGGGAAGGGTGGTTTTTGTTGTTATGGTCCAGTAAATGAACATTCTGCTTGCTTGGAGGTTGCTGTCCAGGATTATATGTTTTGTGTAACTTATTATTAACACCGCACCCTTGTTCTGAGCTGTGTGGAAGTAGTTTGGCTTTTGTTTTCAAATTGTTTCTAACCCTTGAGCATTTGAAGAAAGTCTTTAAAATATTAACCAATACAACTGTCATCTTCCTGTGTTTCCAGACATTTTACAATAGGAAACAAAGAACAAAACCCTGCAACAATAGCTCAGAGGTATGAATTGCCTCATTCATCTCACTGGAATGTTCAAAAACATTAACTATTTTTTGACTGATTCAGCAGAAAATGTGCTGGCAGATAATAAGCTTATGCCTGATCCAGGGGAGATTCAGGGACTGAGAAAGGTTCTATTTTTCAGCACAGCAAAGTAGCACCTTTCCTGAAAGGAAGCAAATATCCTTGTTGATGGAAGAGGCTGCGTGAGAGGAGAAATTCTGGCTCAAAAGGAGCTGCTGCCTTCCTCTCTCTGTGCTGGCTTCAAAACAGCAACATGGTTTATCTCACCTCAATTCTGTAATAAATTAATTAGCAATTACTGCCCACTCTAACATACCAAGAACACTGCGGTCCTTAGGATTTGATTGAGAAAGGCCCAGGATTTCAGTGCAGGGTGTTTTAATCTTTGGTTTAACACTCAGAACAGGAAAGGCAAGGTCAGCACCACAGGCTGAACTGCTGTTGAGACAATACCATCACTAAAACAAAGTTTGTTCCACTGCCTGTCAGAGAATGCTGATGCACTAAAAGGCCAGTAAGAAAACACATGGCTCCACCATCATTCCACTGTCTCCCACCAGAAATGGTGAGAATGGGAATGAATCACCACTTCAGCCAAATTCTTCCCCTTGTGCAATATTATCATCACAAGGTTATAGAAAAGAGTTGCTTCATTAATAACTAGAGTGCTTGGTGACAGAATATTTCTGTGTTAATTCAGAACAAAGTAAATTATTATTTCTGTTTACCCCACCACCCCAGTACCAGATTCCTGAGGAGTTCAGTAGCAGGGGAACCAGTGAACTTCAAGTGAACCATTCTAACAATGACTGGGAAGCCACATGTGTCTTAAATAAAGGCAGCATTAGAAAAGTGAAGATTAATATTTTTTAATGGAACCTTTGACCTTTATGACCAGTATGTAATTTTAAATAAATAGAAAACACAGAGGTGAAAAAAAATTACAAGGTTTAAAAGTGCCAGCTTTTCCTTCAAAAATTTCATGATACAGAGAGTTACATACATGTGCCATTTTGGCTGAATTCAAAGTAATTTTATGCAAAGTAAAGCCAAAGTTATACTTCACTTCCCCACAGACACAACCCCCACACATTAATCCAACCATTTCAGCAAACTTCTAGAAATTAGTGCTCTAGCTCTGTTACCCCTGCTCTGCCACACACATTATCATTGGCTCACAGTTGGCACAAACATGGAAAAGTCTGTTTTTAAAAAGTCAACAGAACACTTAAGTAATCACCACTGTTAAAATTATATTAAAAGTACATCTTGGGCTCAGGTTGATTCACCTTCAATATGATTTAAAATCACACCTAACTGTAAACAAAAGTGCACACACATGTCTATGCTGATCAGCACTGCCTCAGCCAGGCACTTTGAGGTGGTTGTCCCTGAGCTGGGCTGAAAACTCAGTTCTGCAAGTTTTACATTGCTACAACAGAGTGACCTCTTCAAAGAGAGCTCAATCCGTGGTTTCCTGTAGTCTTTTACAGAGAGGTCTCTCTGATTTGAAGCAGTGGTTGCAGCTATCTCAGGGGATGTTCAGAACAGCTTTGGTAATTGCCTGAGCTGCTTCACATCAAGAATGGTGCCAACAGAATTTATGCTGTTTGATTGGTTTAACATTTCAAGAGTTGGAGTATGCAGATTTCCATGGAAGGCCCGAGTATCTCCATCTTTCCTGACGGGTTGTTCAGTGAATTCAACTCTCCCAGGTAACAATCTGGTTTTTGATTTTAAATCCTTTAGGAACTGAAGTGAGTTTTCATCTGCTTGATCTGTTCTGGGAGGAAAAATTTCATTTGTAATATTTCTTAAGACAGGGCTGTTTAATTCTGGTGGAGAAGCATTAGTAGTCAACTCTCTGCTGTGGTTTTTTAGGTGAATGGGAAGTCTTCCATCCACTCTTTTAGGTAATTCAGTCTGGTGGCTGAAGCTGTCCAACACAGGGGTACAGTTTTTTTCTGGCATGCTTTTGCTTTTGACAGTGCCAAAATTGCCATCTTGAGCCTGCAGCTCCTCTTCATCTTCACTGCTGTCACTGCCCTGTATCAGCCCATACCGCTTCATGTACTTCTTGGTTGCAAAAGACATATTGTTGGGTGAAATTAAACTCAGGCCCACCATGCTCTTGTCCGCATTTGTTTGCAAGATGTCTTGGAAGGCGAAATCTCCGAGAGGATTTTGAGAGCGACTGAGAGACAGTTGGGATAACTGATTTTCACTGAGATACTTCAGTGCTATGGCATTTGCTTCCATGCTCAGATCAACAACATTGGGACACATGCTGACATTGGCAAGTGACATGGAATTTAATCCAGGCACCACTGCTTCAGGACTTATGCACGCCAAGATGCTGAAATAAAACATCAAAAAGTTAACACTAGCATTACAGGAGAAGTGTCAGTCTCCCAATTTTTCTTACTG